TCTGAGATTCCTTACTTCATGCAGTGTTATACAATTGATTTGGCATTAACTGTTCACCTTTATTAATGTGTATACTGTGATTATCCATTCTTATCCTTGGCAGAGATTTCTGTGAATGTACTGCATGTTCAAACTCACCCTACCCGCCAACAGGCATTTGGGTCATTATTTTACCTTTTTCTATTATGAGTGGCACTGTAGTTTACAACATGTACCTTGAGGTGGAATTGCTGGATTGTAGGGTTTGTGATTGTCAGGTGGTATAAGATGAGGGGATGCGTGCTTTCTGAAGTGGTTCTACCAACTTACAGCCTATGGATTGGAATCTATATGCAAGCTTGGCTGTCATGCTGGCCCACAGAAGATGCTCAAAGGCCCAGGTCTCTGCTGCTAGAGAATGGTGCGGGGCTCCAGTAATGAAAGATAGGATGAAGGAGGTGCCAGAACTCAGGACTGGGAGTTCGAGAACCACCTCCAAGTTGAAGGTTCAACTCACCAAAACTTGAAAGGGATCCAGGGACTCAGACCCCAAGGCATCCCCTCAGCTGACGACCCTGTTTCTTGTTTGAGAGTCCACAATTTTTTGGAGGGGAGCGGAGCTTGTGACATGATTTTGAAGACTCGGGGGAGGGAGTCTCTGGGGAGCTGCCCTCTGCTAGCCCCTCTCCTCCTATGGGGCTAGCTGGGCCTCTCTGGAAGCTCCAGGTAGTGGGTTCCCATTTATCTGACACTTTTTCCCTAGAAAAAACCCTCTTCTGAGAGACAACCAGCCTTAGGGTTCAGGAGAAGGCTGAGCTGGGGAAAGGGGAGGAGGAACACTGAGACCCCATCGAACGCTTCATCACTGTCTCCAGTACACATGAAAGAAGAGAGTATGGGCCTGCCTCTTGGGTCCAAGGTTGAATCCTGGGGAAGGCAGCCAGGGAGTTAGAGAATGTTCCAGCATCTTGGTGCTGGCACCAACACATCCAGACCTCAGTCCTGCCTGTCTTACCTCTTCCACTCATAGGTAGGCTGGTGGGGGAGTAACAACAGCAAGGCAGAGAGGGTGAAGGTCATGGAGTACTGTGTCCAGGGGTGGGGATGGGAGGGCTGGCTCATTGCACCACCACAGCAAGGACAAGAGTGAAACCCCCAGCCTACATCCGTCTGCCAAGGCCAGCTCTGACTTCGTTGATGACCAGGCACACAAGACCGTCAGTTCCCTTATAAGGGGATTTGCACAAACAGCCTAAGCAGTTCTGACTCACCATTCCCATCTGAAGGCCAGCCAGTCAGGACAACCTATACTGACTATAAGAGTTGGCACTTGTACACATGAGGCCAAGTCCAGCTCTGTTTTAATACTGGACAGAAAACAACAACAAAAACAAACAACTACTGGTGGTGTTGCTAAGTCTTGTCCAGCTGATTTGGACTCCTAGTGACCCTGTATGAGATCTTCAGGCTATAAATCTTTATGGAAGCAGAAGATCTCATATTCCAGTGGGGCTTCAACCACTGGCCTTGTGGTGCTTATCCTACAGAGCCACTGCCTATCCAACAGCACTGGTGTGTTGTTGTTGTTAAGTACTGTCAAGTCGGTTCTCATTCATAGTGACCCTGTATCGTGTTTCTGAGGAGGAGCTGGTGAGTTTGAACTGCCTACCTTGTAGCTTGTGGTCCAGTGCTGATTCTACAATAACACACCAGGAGTGCAGTGCTGATGTAAGAGATGGAAAAACTAGGATTCTTGCCCCAGTCCAGCAGTGAGAACCATCCTGTGACCTAGACAGACAACCAGCCTCTCCATGCTTAACTTCTCTCACGTGTTGAAACAAGTGCTCTGATTTTCGATGAGACTGGCAAAAATGATCTGTAAAGGGTCAGAAAATAAGCAGTTAGAATTTGCAGATTATGCTCTTCTAGTAAGAGCAGCCAGAGATGAAATAGGTAGAACTCAGAGATTTGGTGGGTTCATGTCCAGATCACTGCAGTAAAGTAAATATTGCAGTAAAAGGAGTCACACACATTGTTTGTCTTTCCCAGTGCAGATAAAAGTTATACTTACACTAAACTGTAGTCTATGAACTGTGCTATTCATTGTCATTTCAATAGCTAACCTTTCAGAATTGGTAGACCTCTCATTCTTCCTAGTTTGTCTTAGTCTTAAAGAACCACTAAAGCCTGTCCACCAAGGGTGACTTTGCTGGTATTTAAAATACCAGTGGCCTTCCAACATCCCAGCTACATGCACAAGCCACCACAGTACAACAGACTGACATCAGTGGAAGTTCAAGCTGCACTGAAGGCATTAGTGAAAAACTGACCCCCAAGAATTGACAGAATACAAGCTGAAATGTGCCAACATCCTGACACAAGATTGGAAGCACTCACTCATCTATGCTAAACATTTGGAAGACAGCTCCTTGGCCACGTGATTGAAAGAGACTCATATCTATGCTCATTGCAAAGAAAGATGACCCAATATAATATGAAAATTATCAAAATCATTAATATCACATGTAATTAAATTTTTGCTGAAGATAATTAAAAACTGATTGCAGCAGTACATCAACAGGAGTACCAGAAGTTCAAGCCAGATTCAGAAAAGGATGTGGAGCTAGGGATATCATTGTTGACATCAGATAGATCTTGACTGGAAGCAGAAACTATCATTAGAGAGATGTGTGAATGTGCTTTATGGACTATGCAAAGGCATTCATCTGTGTAGATCATAACAACTATGGATAACATTTGAAAAGAATGGGTTACCAGAACACTTCATTGTGGATAAAAAGAAGCTGTACATAAACCAAGAGTTAGTCATTTGAACAAAACAAGAAGACACAGAGTGGTCTGGTCTGTGTTAGGGTTATATTCCCTTATCATATTCATTTAATCTGTTTGTTGAGCAAATAATCTGAAAAGCTGAACTTAATGAAGAAGAACATGGCATCAAGATTGAAAATAGACTCATCAACAACCTTCAATACGCAGATGACACAACCTTGCTTGCTGGTAGGAAAGAGGATTTGAAATGCATGCTAATGAAGATCCAAGACTAGAGCTTTAGGCATAGATTGCAACTCGATGTGAAGAAAATGAAAACTCATGCAGCCGTACCAATTAATAGCAGCATGATAAACCTAGAAAAGATTGCCATTGTCAAAGACTTCATATTGTTTGGATCCACAATTAACACTCGTGGAAGCAGCACTCAAGAATTCAAATAACAACGTATCACATTAAGCAACTCTGCTGCCCAAGACCTGATTAAAGTGTTTAAGAGCAGAGACATCAGTTTGAGGACTAAGATGCCTCATAGTTTCAATCACTTCACATGAATGTGAGAGTTGGACATTGAATAAGAAAGACTGTAGAAGAATCAATGCATTTGAATTATGGTGTTGGTGAAGAATATTGAAAGTACCATGACTGCCTAAAGAACAAACAAATCTGTGTTAGAAGAAAATACACCCAGAATGCTCCTTAGAAGCCAGGATGGCAAAACTTTATCCATTGTACTTTGGAAACGTTGTCATGAATGACCAGCTCCTGAAGAAAGACCCCAAGCTTGGCAAAGTGGAGGTCAAGGAAAAGGAGGAAGAATCTCATTGAAATGGATAGGTACAGTGACAGCAACAGTGGACTCAAACACAATCATTGTGAAGCACAGTACTGGACAGTGTTTTGTTCTTTTGTGTATAGGGTCGCTTGAGTTGGGACTGATTCAGCCTAACAGTCAGAAAGTATGCAATAGCATTATGAAAATGTTTGAAATACTATGAGAATGATCAAAATATGAAGTAACAACAGAAAGTAAGCACAAGCTGTTGGGAAAATGGTGACAACAATCTTACTTAAAGCAGGATTATCACAACCCTTCAATTTGTTAAAAATCCACTATCTGCTGGGTACAATAAAACACAGCACAATGAAATGAGGTCTGCTGATATATGGTTAAACCCACCTCTTAAAAAAGAAGAAATGACATAGGCATTTCTCAGAAGTTGCCGCAACCAGCAGAAGGTTACAGACCAGAGAAGCTCAGGTCATGGCCCTGGACAAGGGTCTAGAGAAGCTGAGTGTAGACTCTGGGGACCCTGATGCATAGGGAAAAGTAAGAAGGGAAGACACTCAAGTGCCTTCATCTGAAAGGGAGAGGGTGCCAGCAAGACCAATGCCTGGAACACTGAAGGGATTTGGGGAGACTTGGGACCCCAAGTCCAGTGAACCCTGCAGGAATGAGGTCCTGGCTGCATCCCTCCTGGAGATAGCTAGTGAAGACTGCTAAGTTCTGCCTCCTAGACACTACCCCTCTCATGGCCCCAAGCCATGAATCTGAACCCCAAGAACAGTTTTATCACTTTTATTTACATGGTGGCAGGCACTTACTGTGAGATATACAGGGCACAGTTGAACTGGACTCACTCCCTCAACTCCTGCCCAGTGGCGACTCCCAGTCCTCTGCACCCCTGCAGCTATTTGACTGCTTAGCTGGACTCACCAGTAGCCAGACTGGCCCAGCTACATTAGTACCATTGTAGGGTCTGAGTGCCCTGAATGGTCCTCATGGGACTGCAGCCCCCCCTGGGAGGAAAGCTCTGACCCTTTCATCATGGCCTGTACCCATGTCTTGGAAAGCCAAAAGAAGGCATGGGATTAATTAGGTGAATGCCTCCCACCCCTCTTCTGTCCTTGGAGAATGGGGATGAGAAAACCTAAGGTCCTTGCTTGACACTGATAAGATAAGGGTTGAGAAGCCTGTTAGATAGCACTGCCTGGGACTCCCTGCTCAGCTGCATTCATTGTCTTCAACAGCTCCTCCTCCTAGTTGGCCCTTGTGAAATGAAGGACCAGCCACCACCTGTTTCCTCTCCTCCTGATGTGGGTCTGATGAATTGACTCTGGCCTTGGGCACTTGGCTTGCCCAGCGACAATTTTCCTCATGACATCAGCAAGGCTTAGCCATCCAGGCAGATAAAAGGTTTGAGCTGAGGGAGGGAGGGAGTCTGGCGATGGCATTCAGGGTGCAGGCAGGCATGTGGGTCACAAAGCCACAGTGGACCTTCCGCTGGATCCGAGCACTGAGCACAAGGTCTTCTCCAGCACTCCAGGCAGTACTGCCCTTCGAAGCCATTCCCCAGTGTCCAGGCAACAAGTGGATGAGGATCCTGCACATCTGGAAAGAGCAGAGCCAGGAGAACATTCACCTGGAGATGCAGAAGCATTTTCAAGAGTTAGGGCCCATTCTCAGGTAGAAATGGGCCCAGGAGTACACCCGGGGGCCAGCCCAACAAGCTGTACCTTTAGGAAGTAGGCAGGGGTGCTGAGGGTCCATGTCCTTGACTGTGGGGACAATGACACCTTACGCAATGGCCAATTAGCCACTGATCTCTGCTGAGAGGAGAGGATTTAAAGCACAAAAGCTGGAGGAATTTCAGTTAGACAACAGGAAAAGATTTCCTGGCTGCCCTCATAAATCTTGGAAGAGGGAGAGTAGATAGTGGAGTAGCTGGATTGGGAAGGATGCACCCCACCCAACCCCTCTGTATCCCACAGAAATGATGCGGGAGAAGTATCCATGGTGCATGTGATGCTGCCCAAAGATGTGGAGCAGCTGCAGCAGGTGGACAGCCTGTACCCAATCCGGATGCCTGTAGAGCCCTGGCTGTTCTATCGACAACTTCGTGGGCACAAACTCAGCGTGTTCTTGATGTGAGGGGGATATCTGGGGTGGGAAGGGGGCCAGGGCCTGGATATAAAGGAGGGAGAGGTAGAACAGCTCATCACCCAGGGAGTCATCACTATGCTGCATTACCTGGAGCTGAAGGTAGGCACATCCCTTGGAGCAGGTGGAAGGACAGTGATTTCACTGCTGGGTGGCAGGGTCCTCTCTTCCTATTAGGCCATCCCTTATGCTGAGGCCAGGAGTCCATAGCCCTTGGTATTATTGTCTCAGCATACACCTGAGTCTGGGTATCACATCTGGGCTACAGCCTCTCCCCTGGGGTCCTACAGTTATGGCAAAACCCATGCTCATTATGGAGGGAATCTGAGGACAAGGAAATAGGAACACATTGCTTTCCTGAGGGTAGGCAGTGGTGACTGGCTCTAGGGATGTTCTGCTCCCTGTTGAAGGAACAAGCCTGATCATTAGCAGTTGGAGACGGTGCTGGGGGTCTGTGGTTCTGAGACCAGGCTGTCAATAAACAGGGAGGGTCCAGGGCCATCCCACTCTGTCAGGAACAGAAAAGGGTCCTTGTCTGTGGGCATCTGGAAGGGTGAGGACCCAAGAAGAGCAGGACTGGGGAAAAGTGGGGGTGAGAACCTGAGAGAAGGCAAGTGTGCACATGTGAGTATGTATACATGTGCATATGTGTTTGTAACTGCATGTGTGTACGCATGGGTATATCTGTGTCTACATGAGTGTGTATCTGTGTGTGTGAGACTGTGAGTGTGATGTTAGCATGTGTGCACACGTGTTTATGTGCACATGTGTCTGTGTGGTAATTTTGTTTGTGTGTATATACATGTGCTTCAGTATGTGGGACTATGAGCAGGTAAATGTCGGCTTCTGTGAATGACTAAGTTCGCTGTGCATGTAGGTGTGTGCACATGCTACTGTGTGTGAAGAACTCTGCCAGGGCACAGGTATGTGGATGTGTGTGCAAACAAGTGTGTGCTTGAAATATGAAAGTATGTGTAAATTGGTGTGCATGTGTGTGTGCATGGAGGTACATGCACATGCCTACCCATGTAATACATGAATGAAGGAGCATGCTGTGAGCATGGAAATGTGTGCACACTTACGTGTATGTACCTATGTCAGTGTGCATGTGCTACTGTGCACTGTGTGTGAAGTGTGTGTAAATCTGAGTGCTCTGTATGTGCATCTTTATCCATATATGTGCATTGATTGGGAATATGTATGTGTGAACGTGTGTACAAGTACATGGGAATGTGTCGGCATCAGTGTGTGTGTGTGGCTCTGCATGCGTATGTGTGTGAGTATACTCTGAATGTTTATGTGCACTTGTGTTTGTACATGGAGGTCTGAGAATCTGTGTGCATCTACATGCATATCAGTGTGTGTTTGTGTGTAGGAATGGGAATGTGTGCGCCTGTGTATGAGGACTCCTGTGTAAGTGTCTGTGTGTGTGTGTGTGTGTGTGTGTGTGTGTGTGTGTGTGTGTGTTCCTTTCAATGCCCTCTCATGATCTCAGAAGACTGGCTGACAGAAAGGGGTCTGTGAGTACAAGCAGGAAGTAAGAGTGCACACCCAGGCGAGGCCCTGTGTGAGGGCCCCCGTGGACCCTGTGACTCTGCTGTGGGCCTGTAAGGGCTATTTGGGTATACTTTCTATGGGGAGATAGTAATACTGTCCCTGTCCCAGTCCACATTGTTGAGGGTGAGGCTGAACATCTCCTGGTGGATTAGGATGGACCAAGTAAGACTGGGTTGGCAGGAGAACTGCCCACCTACTCAGGGCCTGGTACGGGCCCTCCCCAGCCCCTCAGGTACTCCCAGGCAGCTGTAGATCTAGCCCACCCTGACAGCTGAGGTTGGCTTTGCAAGCCACTCAGAGAGGTGCCACCCGGAAAAAAATGACATGCTCAGCCTCCTCCCTCGGCTGCTCCCTGCTCTTGAGCACCTGTTCTCTGTTCTGCAGGAACGGGCCTGAGTGGCGCCACCTGCGACTGAAGCTGAACTCAAATCTGTTGGAACCCAGAAATGTGCAAAGGTTTGTGCCCATGGTGGACAGGGTGGCCCAAGACTTCTCCCATGTCCTGAGGAAGAAGGCAATGCAGAATGCCCATGGGAGCCTGACCCTGGATATCTGCCCCAGCATATTCTCCTACAGCTTGGAAGGTGGGAAAAAGGCCCCAGGGTCAGGTGGGGGCAGGAGTGGCTAGGAGACTTGTCCCAATTCTCAGCACCTCTCTCCCCACAGCCAGCCACTTTGTTCTGTATGGAGAGCGGCTGGGTCTCCTTGGCCCCAACCCCAGTCCTGCCAACATGAACTTACTCCAGGCTGTGCAGGTCATGATGGACTCTTCCGTGAAACTCATCTCTGTACCCCAGAGCCTGTCCCGCTGGACCAGAACCAGTGTATGGGAAGAGCACTTCCAGGCCTGGGACAACATCTTCCATTTTGGTGAGAGCAACACAAAGCGGAGGGCTTCAGCCCCCCCTCTGCTGCCAGGCAGGGACACTTGGTCACAAAGGCTGGGTGGGGGTGTGCAGTGGGCAAACAAAAAGGAAGAGAGACCCTTCTCTGCACCTAGGCCTGGACTTTGTTCCCCACAGTCAACAAGGCCATGCACAGAACTTACCAGGAGCTGGCGCTCAACAGCCTGCAACATTACCGAAGCATCGTGGCGGAGGAACTTCTGGACTCAGAGATGTCCCTGGACATCTTGAAAACCAATGTTGTGGACCTCACTGTAGGGAGCATAGAAACAGTCAGTCAACATTCAGATGCCCACCAAACCACACCCTTCCCATGCCACCTAAACACATGGCCCCAAGACTTCCAGTGCCCCTAGACATTGGCCTTGGTTTCTGCAGTAAAGGAAGGCTCTGAGGGCACATGGATACACCTGCCCAGGGGGGAAGAGACTCCCTGGGGGTAGGTCCTCCCGGGAGGGTGTGTGAGATCCAGGTTAGAAACTACCCCCCTCCTGCAGACAGCCTACTGCCTGCTGATGACCTTCTTTGAGCTGGCTAGAAATCCCGACATTCAGCATGCCCTACGCCTGGAAAGTCAGGAGGCCGAGGCCACCATCAAGGAAAGTCCCCATAAGGCTATCTCAGAGCTGCCTCTGCTGCGAGCTGCCCTCAAAGAGACCTTACGGTAGGTGCCCTTCTCCATTCATCTTAGGTCATCTGTGCTGATGGAGATCAGCATGTACAATGGGATACATGGGAGTCCTGTTTCCAGTAGCCTTCTCCCTACCAGAGAGGTGAAGTGACTCCTGGGATCCCACCCCCAGGCCTGGGACCTACCTTTCAGTTCCTGGGAGGTCAGGGACAGCAAGCTACATAACAGGAGCAAGGACTAATCTGAGAGTTTGTAGATGGAGGTGGTGACACTTGGGGGCCAGGAAGCTGGGGGGTGGCATGGGGAGGGGCCGAGGCATGTCCCCAAGGGTTTGTCTACTCCTAGGCTGTACCCTGTGGGGCCAACTCTGAACAGGCAGGTGAAATCAGACCTGGTGTTACAGAACTACCACATCCCGGCTGGGGTGAGTGAAGTCTAACCACTCCAATCAGAGACCTCCACAGATGCTCCCTGAAGAGTGAACTGACTGTCACCCCGTCTATCCACAGACCAGGGTCTACATTCACCTCTACTCTCTGGGTCGGAACCCCGTTACGTTCCCCAGGCCTGAGCGCTATGACCCCAAGCGCTGGCTGAACAAGGCGTCAAGCTCTAAATTCGGTCACTTGACCTTCGGTTTTGGGATTCGTCAGTGCCTGGGGCGGCGATTGGCAGAAATGGAGATGCTGCTCATCCTTCACCATGTGAGCTGTGGTACAGCCAGGGGTGGGGCCAAATATTGAGGTTACAATCGCACCACGTGAGAAATGCAGCTGAAGGGAGGCGGTCTGAGGACAGGTAGGGAGGGGTTGGGAAAGGTCCCAGGAGCGTCCCAAAGCAGGTTCCACCGTGGGTACAGGCATGAGGCCTTGAGAAGCTCTGAGGGCAGTTTTGGATGTTTGTCTCTGTCCTAGGTGCTGAAAAACTTCCATGTTAGTACTGTCTCCTCCAAGGACTTACCGATGATTTGGCGCTTAGTATTGATGCCGTCCACCTACCCACTCCTCACCTTCCAGGTTATCAACCAAACCACCAACAGAGCACCTTAGACCTCACACCAGGATCTCCCCACACACACCGCACACCACCCCTTCTCCCCCACCACACACTTTTGTCCTGTCTGCTTCTTGAACTAAGGGTCTAGAGGCCTCAAAGGCACAAATTTTGTCATACTGAACAAGGACAGCATGGTAATGGGATGACATCGAGTGGCAGATCCTGCTTGTGTCCCCAACCCCTTCTCTGTCCCCACCACCATGTCCAGGACCGTCTGTGTGGCTGAACCCAAAGCCCTTAGGTGGTCATACAAGGGCCCTTCGACCACACCCCTTGTCTACCTGTCCAGTCTCACTCCTTCCTTCATATCTTTCCCTTATCCATGCCAAAGAAGACTTCCCTGGCTCCCTTTTACTGCCCTGTTGTTATTGCACAAGGCTCCCTCAATCTGACCTCTCCATGTGGATCCTCAGATTTGATGGTGGGGTTGGTGTTAATTTTCCCTGGTCAGCCATGCTTAGCTTACAATGGCAGGTACGGACTTGTATGGTTGGGCTGCAACTTTTGGATGTGGGGAAGAGTGGAGAGCTGGAAAGCATGTTCCTCCATGGGCCTGGTAGACAAATAGTAGCTATTAAGGTTCAGAGGTGGATGTCTGGCTGGAAGGTGATAGATGAGGAGTAGGAGGGGTTATAAACAGCCTGGACAGTGGGAGGACAGCTTTGGCCAGGAATGACTCCCTAAATCTTCAGTGAAGTCCTCTATCTGAAGTGCCAGCTCTCTCCTCTGCAGTGTCCCACTGGCAAACTCATTCAAGCCTTGTAGCTGCCCCAGGTCAGCTTGGTGGAGGCTTGGAATAGCTGGAAACAGGCAAGGGTCACATATGTGATGCATGTGGTGTAACTGTGTGCTTGTGCACATGAGAAAAGAAGATGTCTCCAAGTAGAAATATGACCAGGAGGTCAAGATGGATGGCAGGCTTCAACACAACCACACCCTTCCCCAGCCCATTCCACCTGTGGATATCAAAACTGAGTGTGTCCTAATCGAGAAGTGAGTGGCAATCCACCTGTGGTTACACCAGTAGTTCCACCTCCCAAGGACATCTGGACCAGGTCCCTCCCCAGACTTAGGTTCCTAAACTTCAAGACTGAGTTTGCAAAAACTCTCCCCATGCATCCTTTTCACCATGATGCACCATAACTGTGAAAGAGGTTCATTGCTGGAACATGGTCTTCATTCTGCCAAGTCAGAGATGACTCGGGGAACCAAGGAGAGCGGGAAAAAAAGTTCCAGATTCAGTGATGAACCAGGTACAAGGAAGCTCCACATGTATCCAACTTTGAATTCCTCTGAACCCCATATTGCCTTTTGGGAATTCCACATAAGAATTCCCATTTTCCTAGACAACAGTGTCAAGTGAACAGGATTGGTGTTTCTGAAATTTGCTGCCTCAACAGGAGCTCAATAGATGAATATTTTCTCTTTGACCTCTGAGAAACTGTGGCTTCATTTATGGTACCCACTCTGTGTTGAACATGTGACCAGTGAATTAAAATACTAGTTACCACCTGAAGTGGCATCATTCGAGGGTACAGAGGAGGCTGACTGCACCAGGTGACACTTCAAAAAGGACCGCACCAAAACGACTGTCTTTAATTTTTTTTTGCAGTATATAAGCAGAAAATATTTATCATAAAAATAATCTCTGTAGTTAGCTACAACAGCAAAAACAGTTTTCTAAGGCCAGTTTACATAGACTAATATGTAATTTGTAGCTTCTTACAAAGCTAAATTTCTATGGCAATTTACTTTTTTTGAACTTTCTAATACATGCTAGTCAAACTGTTATTATTACCCAATGACAATGATGTTTTGGATCAAGTGGTGTCATCCACATGAACTACAACCAGGCACTGTTGTTTTCAGTGATCCTGGTAGTTTTAGCCATTGACCTTGTAAAATTTTCTAGTGTTTTACATATCATGGTGAATATATATTTTGATATATTGTGTTAAGTGGTTATCTTGAACCTATATCAATATTTTTTTTTACAATGAAGTAGCAATTAAAGAAAAAGTAGAAGATTTAGAATTTTTTTTTTTTTTTTTAAGTACTTCCATTCAGGCACTACTAACATAATAATGACATTCAAAGTAGAAAGATTTTTGGAAAACCATTTTGTAGTTACATTCATATAATCTAAAAATATTACATTTAAGTAAGTTTACAGCTATATTCATCGTATATAGTGTCTATGATTAAAATTGATACTAAACATTACTAAGGATTTGGTATGGTAGGCGTACTGGGGAAGGAGTTGAAACCAGGAGTTACCACACTGGGTGACATCAACCCTAGTACTGTTCTTGTGATGTAGACACTGTGTCAATCCATCTCATTGAGTGTTTTCCTGACACTCTACTGAAATTATGTTCTTTTCTAGCAGTCAGTGTTTCCTGATGACATGTCCTCTGTTAGCAAGAAGAAGCTTCACCATCCTTGCTTCTAAACAGCATTCTGGTTAACACCTGCACTAATATTACTGCAACAGCAATTTGCAATTGTATTTTTTCTAAGACAGATTTTTTCATCATTTTTGGCAGCCCATAACATACTCATTGTTATTCATCAACACCACAATTCAAACTCAGGAACATGTTATAGAGTTTCCAGTTTTACTCTGACAGTATCATTTCCTTTGGGGGTCTAGGCCTTCCTCATTGCTGGCTGAAAAGGCTTGCTTTCCTGGACATACTTCCCAGGTGAAGACCACAACTATGTAGAAGGAATAAATGCAGATGCCAGTACAACAAATTATTTAATTAGAAATGGGTTGGACCAAGTCATAATGTACGGAAGACCTCTTCTCCAGACCTTAAATGTGAAGATCACTAGATGCTGGAGTTTCTTCCTGCCATCTTCCTAAAACATGGATGCTGAGACAGAAGAACAGGCTGGAGGGTTGAGATCAACAAGGTAGAGAAACTCATGGGACAGCATAGAAGACCAACCATTGGTACTGAAAACCAAAACTGATCTCCTGCCTGGAGATCATCTATCTCATACATTTGTTTTTGCATAATCCAAACAACCTTGTGTTTTTTCTCACGCAGTGAGGATATAAACTATTCAGTAGCTTTGCACAGTAGACATGGAAATCTACCATGCATTAACATTTACCTTTAGAGTATGATTAAGTCCATTTTTTTTTTTTTTCTGTCATTTTTAAGGCTATTGTGGTTCTTCTCTGAAGAGTTAGTCAATAGTTTCTGACAATCATATATGTGGACTCTACAGAAGTTTTAAAAGGAGGAAGAAAGTAAAAAGTCATCTGCTTAGGGCAGACCAAGAAAATAATATTAATTCTCTGGAAATAATTTACCAAGTTAATTATTATTGGAGTCTTGGTGATGCTATAGGATATTCAATGATCTACTAACCTCACCTCAAGGTCAATAGTTCAAGCCCACTGGCTGCTCCACAGGAGAACGATGAAGCTGTATGCTTCCATAACAATTTGGTCTAGAAAATCCTATATAAGGTCACTGTGAGTCAAAATAGCCTTCATGTTATTAGGAAGGGTAAGATGATTGGTAAGTATTGCATTTATTTAAATATGTATATAAATTATGCACATGTAAGATAAATATTGATAAATCAAATAAGACTGGCATTGCTGAGTATAGGTATATTTGTTTCAATCTATACATCTTAAGGGTAATGCATACTTACTCTGCTGTTGTTGTGATTCTTAAGTGCCATTGAGTTGGTTCTGACCAGCAGCAACCCTGTATAGGGTTTCTGAGGATCAACTGGTGAGTTTGAACCACCAACCTTGTGGTTCAAACTGACTTTGCAGTCCAGCACATTCAACCATAGCACCACATCACGACTCCGCTCTTTTGTTAGGTGTTATCAAATCCATTCAGACTCATGTACAGCAGAAGAAAATACTGCTCAGCCTTGCACCATCCTCACAATCATTGCTACATTTGGTCCCATTGTTAAAACCACTGGGCCAAACTATCCCAGTGATGGATTTCCTCTTTTTGCTGACCTTACACTTTACCAAGCATGATTTTCTTCTCTAGGGGTTGGTCCATCCTGATAACATGTCCAAAATATATGAGACAAAATCTTGTTATTGTCACTTCTAAGGAACAATCCAGACTTACTTTTTCTAAAACAGACTTGCTCATTCTTCTGGCATTCTGTGGTATATAAAATAACTGTTTTTAGAGGAACAGAAGATAAGCCAGACCTCATAGGAGCAGAAGAATCAGGCCAAGACTTGTGTTAATGGTAAAGACAATGAGATGAAGATAGTCCACACTCACATGCAGACATGATTCATATAAGAAGTGTTTACAGGCAATTTTAAAAATTAGTTTTTTTAATCCAAGTGACATATCCATACCATCACTGTATATCATCCTGCAGATACACGGTTATATTTGTATTACTTCTATTGTTGTTGTTGTTGTCAGGTGCCATCGAGTTGGAACCAACTCATAGAGACCCCATGCACAGCTGAATGAAACAATGTCCGATTCTGGGCCAACCTCACTACCGCTGCCACACTTGAGTCCATCAATGATGTCACCTGGCCAATCCATCTCGTTAGGGGTCTT